GGAAGTGTCAGATTGCACCTGGCAGCACTAGTATTGCTAGGACCCGAAATATAAATAGTGACCCTCGTATGATATTATACTCACACACATTCTTCTTATCCAATGAGAAAAGAATTTGAGACAAGGGAAAAATCCATAATTTATGAATAAATTTATAGTTTATTCCCTCAATTTTTGCTTGAATAAGTTGAATAATTATTTATATTTGTAACTTTTCATTTATTTTTGAATTGTGTAAAGTGTGGTTTCTAAAAAGACATTATCTTCTTGTTATTTAATCCAAAATAGTTCTAGGTAGTCACATCAACCCATAATTTAATCTCATAATAGATATTATCATTAGGAAATCTCTTAGGCACTTATATATTTCAAATACACACAATTAATGGGGAAACGAAAATTAATTTTTTTACTTAATCACACTGTCTTTATATAATGAAAACACAAACAAACAAACACTAATTTTACATGCATTTTCTTTTTACCTTTTAGATTTTTATTGATATGAATGGAAAAAATATGGTTCAAATTTTTTTCTGTCCTGCCAGTAATTAGATTTAAAAAGGAAAATTCCTTTTTTTATTTTTAGAATAAATATGTATATATATATATATATATATATGTATGTACATACATAATGCCCCAAATTATGGTATACAAATTCATATTATGTAAATATGTACGTACTATTGGGTGAATAAGTTTAAGTCAAAAAGTATGTTTATTAAAAAAAGGACAAAAATTTTTACTATCTTTTTTTGATTTGAATCTACATTTTACATGTCAAGTTTTTTGACAATTTAAATTTTTTGTTTTTTTTTTGTTTAATTTAACAAGTCCTTTTACATTTTATTTTTTTTATTAAGATATTTCAATTTGTACTCTATATACTTTCCCAAAAATTCTCATAAAATTTTTTAATTTGTTACAGACTTTAATTTACCGTGTATAGACTTAAATTACTGCAAAATAACAACCAAAAACTTATAATTTTAATTTTGATAAAAAAAATTCTTTTTATTTAGTATGCAGTTTTTTTTCGACATACTGTATTTGTATAAATAATAAGTACTCTATATAAACAGTCTTCCTGCCAGATATTTTGAAAACACATTAACTAATTTCAAACAAAAGATTACACTGATGTTCTATACTTCTATGTTATATTAAAATTTTAAAAATTCGGAAATTATTGTTATTAAAAAGCTCTAAAATGAGAACATTTGAAAAGTTAGACTCGTGTTTTAAACATTGTCAGATTAATTTTCGAGTAATTCTTTAAGATTGATATTAAAGGCAGAACATAATTTTCAGATTGAGACAAAATACACGGACGCAGACTTTTATGTAAATTCGTTTTAACAAAATTTTTTACACAATAAGTTTGTTTCATTGTTTGCGTATATGATAACCAACTTATTATCATTTAACCGTTGAGCTGCCAAGTTTTATATTCAACAGATTTCTAACTAGGACTTCATATTATTAATGCTGCTTTAATAATAAACATCTAGCAATTTAAATATTATAAATATTTCAATAATATTAATTATTTTAATAAATTCTATTTAGTAAGAACTAAAATTATTTATATGAACACAAGATTTAAATGGCCATATTGTAAATATTATAATTAAAACAAAAATTTATTTAAGTAAAAAAGTTTTCTTTTCCAAAAATTTCTTTACCCTCATTATAATAATATGTACATGTATAACGTATATGGTATTGCAATATTTAATAAGCATATATTTCTACTTTGTTAATTCGAAGAGAGACTACAGACATAGTTTTGTAAAAAGTTATGATATAAAAAAGTTTTAATAGTTTGTAAAAGCAAATTTTATTTAACTGAACTGTGTGTAAGGATATTAATTATAATTATGGACACAAGAATATTAGAAAAAAGACTTCCTATACGTGTATTAAATGAAAATTGAAAGTGATTCAATATTCAGTATTTCAAAATTTATAAAATAATGTGGATACTACCTTAGGTATACGATTTTAGTTTAAGCCAAATTTCATCAATTAGTTTCGCAGATATGTAAAATTGGCCCAAAAAAATTTTGAATTCCCGAGGTCTAATGCATCTCAAAAGTTCATCAATTCATGACATAGCACATATAAAACTTCATCAACTCGATTTAGCCGAACTAGAAATACACGTATGCAAATACGGATCAGAAGTTAACCAAGCAGACCGGCATCTCTTTAAAAATAGTTCATTTAATCCCTATACCGTGGAAGTAAATAACCAAAAACTCGACATCCGAGATTTGGTGCTACCAAAAATAAGTACAAAAATGAATAAGTGATTAATTAACTATGTGATTAAGAACAATATATTTAAAAAAATTACTAATTTTCTTACAAAAAAATATTATAATTTTCCAATAAATAATCGGAGAAATTTTCCCTCAAAATTACACACATTTGAAGGAAATAACTCTTTTAGATCCTATGTATTGCAAATTCTCATAATAAATAAAGTTATATTTTAATAATACATAAAAATGCAAATTTTTTCTCGACTTCCTTACTGTAGGTAGATACCTTCGACTTCGATACTGTAGATTCGAGGAAAATTACTATTATTAAGTGATAAATGAAGAGTCACAATAATAATATAAAAATCACTAGACATAAAAATAAAATTTTATTTTGGAAAAAATATATTTTACTGTACAAGATTGTGTAACTTTTTATGCTTATCAAACTTTTTTGACAATATTATTTAAAATGTTCAGATTTCTCCAACTAACTTTGCACCAAATTTTTTCACAATGAACGAAATTTGTCTTTCCATTTATACAAATTAAACCGAAAAATTGCACGTGATTTTGATTATTTCGTGCTTGAGGCAATATTAAATTATCATTCCCCACAACTTTACAATTTAATTTATTATTTCTAAAAATTATATTTATAACGAGCGTGATTGTGTATTTTAATCACATCTGTTATATATAATGTCGTCTGCGTAAAAATAGCGCATAAAAAAAGAATTTGAAAAATTCATTTTAAAAACTTCCTTAAATTCAACAAGTGTTTAACATATTATTTTTATTTTCACTTAATGTTCGATATATTTAGCTCCTTAAATCTATTCTTTATCGCTTCATTACCAAAAATATTCTTAAAATTAAAAATTATAGGAAAAATTTCTCTTTTATATTTGATTACGTTACTTTAAAAATTTGTTTTGGAATTTTAAAAATTTTTCTAATATCAAAAAATTTTGGATACAAAAATTGTCAAGGCTGTCTTTGACAAGGTAAAACCAAAAATTTTATCCTAAAATTTCTTTTAAAATTTCATAAAATCAACAACTTTTTCTCCCCCTCTTAAATTTTCTTTTTCCTTTTTGTACTTTAATAGAAAAGATATGTTTTAAATATTTAAGTTTGTTATATTTTTCTTTTAGCATCTTTAAAGTCATACATTCATGCGATTATGTTTTAGCATGTATGTATATATTATAAATATGTATATATATTCATTATGGCAAAAACGTGCATACACATTATTACCTAGATTCATAAGTGGATGCGATGGCTGGGATGATGTTAAAATATTTCAGACAGAATTTTTCTTATTCTATCAATTTTTCCTTTCTCTCACAAAAAAAAACATAAATTTATTTTCGTAACAGTATTGGTGTGCGGCTATTATGTATCATCAATCTGATCCAAATAATAATTTAAATTATGATAAGAAGAAAAGCTTTAATATACATTGAGAAAAATCATAGTAAAAGCTCTCAAATACACAAGTTTGTTCTAACAAATATATGTCAATTGTTGATGCACGCATACACATAAAACAGTACAGTAAGGGACATGAAAAAATGTTATCAAATTTAAAAATAATTCTATAAATAGTAATCGAATTTTGTATTAAGTATACAATATCGTAACGTATAAAATTGAACTGATTTAAAATTAATCACAGTGATGTGGTTTTTGAAAAGGAAGCATATTAACAAACTCTGCATATTTAGTGAAATTTTATTTACAAGCGTAAAATTCATGACTTTTGAATTGAATAGTTTCTAAATTTTGTATGATTACAACAATTTTGAGGTCTACTTCATATCAAAGAGTTTATTTATTATAATATGACACCAATTGTGGATGTTCTTATTAACTTACGTTAAAAATATGTTTCATATACATATTTTTTTTTAATTTTCCCCTAAAAATATGCAAAAGAATAGTATAAGGTTCACTTTAAAATTGATCGCTTTACTTCAAATTTATTTTGCTTCTCCGATGATAAAATGTGTTTAATTTTAATTATTATTGAATTTTTTATTTATTTTAATTTAATGCTCTATTCAATTTCTTATTTGATTTTGTTTCACCTTATACATAATATATTTTTCAAAAATTATTACATTTACTGCTTTTTTCATTTACTCTAAATTAAAATTATTACATTTCTATAGAATTAAAATTGAAAATAAAAATACTTCGTATGAAGAATTTCAAAAATTTTAGAAGCAAATTATGCAATTTAGATCAGTGCACATTTCTGATTACAAATTTTAATCAAATTTCGTGGTAATTCATATGAAGGTATATACTGCTTATAAAACTTAGTTTTCACCCGAAGCGTGATGTATAATAATAAAATTTTATAAAAGAAATGAAAATGCTTCTTAATATAAATATTCCTAAATTGAATACATTTGTACAACTTATTGTACTATAGAAGTATATTTCATCTTTCTTTTCAATTATCATACCTACAGCATTTTAAATAATATTAAATGTGACATTTGTTTGTCTCTATTATCTACCTACCTATCTTAAATATATAAAAAAAATATTTTTATAAAATTACTTTAAAATAATAACATAGATACCTACACTAACATCCTTTACAAATTCGCACAAAATATTACAAATTATCCTTAGAAATGAGAAATTCTAGGCAAAACAAAAAAAAAGCTTTCCCCAAAAGAAATTCTTATAAACAGTTTTCAGATAACTTTTGCCGAGTCTATACGAGATTCTTTTGTATTGTTTGCTTGTACCGGAATATTTAAAATTTTATTTTTCTTTTCTCTTTTTGATTCGCAAATAACGGTAATTTGCAAAAGGAAAATTTTTTTTTATTCTTCTGTTTCATTTTTTTCTTGTTTGTGTTTTTTTAATTTTTGTGTTTTTTTTTTTTTGTATTTTATTGCTTTTATTATGGTTTAAGAATTTTTGTTATGACTTATGATGTTTCTTTCTCTCCATAGTAAATAATCAAGAATTAAGAAGTGAAAATTTTACTTGTCATTTTATTTATTTAAAAAAAGAAAGAAAAACAACAAGGTAAAAGTTAACGAGAATTGCCATTTTATTAAAAAAAATAAAATAAAAAAATGATAAAAAATTTTTTTTTTTTAATTTTCTATTTTTAATTTTTTTTTTATTGTTTATTTTGTGATAAACAATAAAATTGAAAATTCCCGCTCTTTTTATCCTTTTACATGATTCTTTCATTATTTTGTACTTTATCTACTTTTTTTTAAGCTTCTCTATTCTATACTGTGTTTGTTTTTTACCTATGGTTGCAGATTTATCAAAAATTTATCGAACTTTGAATAAAGACAGTGAAATTGATGTTTTTGTGACATAAGATAAAAAAAAAATTGGATTTTTTTCTTCATGCTTTTGTTTTTGTCTCATTTTAAATTATAAATGATAATAAAAACAATTTACATACATATAAAAATAAATAAATAAATAAAAAGAAGACATAAGACAAGATCAGAAAAAGAAGAAACAAATAATAAAAATATTCACAATTGAATTTTATGATAAAACAAAAAAAAAACAACAAAAACAAAAAATAAATGTGAATCAAAGAGGAAATAATAAGTGAACAAAGAAACAAAATATTTAGATATAACGGGGGATATGTAAGTCAATTTGTATACTTTAATGGTTTGTGACAGTTGCTTTTCCATACATATGCACATACATACATATATATTGTACACATATTTATGTAATTATTTATATTGCTTGTTTTTAGCTATTAGCTATTCATTTTTTGGCTTTTATTTTCGTTCTCTTGTTATAAAAATTATCGTTAGGTTACTGATTTGGAAAACATTTTGATATAGAATGATTTTATACTATATATGCTTATAAGAAATTTAAATAGGTATGTAGGTGTAGAAATTAAGAGAAGAAATTTAATAAACATCTTTGAGTAAAAGAAAAAAAATTTAAATTTAATATTTTATTCTTTAAGAATAATTAATTATTATTGAAATTAGAATAAAATTTTATATGGAAATATTTAATTAATTATAACTTTTATAAAAATAATATTATGTGCGCCTATAAATATGCTTTTTTGAATAAGATTAAGGTTTGTTATATGTAATTTTCAATTACATTAAAAATAAAAATAGAAAAAATTCTATTTAAATGAAAAAACAAAAAAAAAACAAACAAATTATTCAAAGATTGGAACTTGCCCAAATACATCAAAACATAAATTGGACTAAGTAGCTGCTGACTTATTTATAGGAGACAGATCCAAAATTTAAGCTCATTTCTTGACGTGATTTTCAGTTTCAAGATTTGGAATATTTATACGTTGAAAATATTTAATTGTTGAATTGTAGTTCGGTTTTCAAAATTTTACATAGAAATAGTGTTGTCTATAATTGCATATTATAAATAAAACAGAGCACATAGTTTGATTTTGTAAATATTACTTTTCAAAATTTTTTTATATGGAGAAGTTGCGTTAAATCAATTTAAATATATAGCAAGTTAAATAATGATTTAATGAATAAATTTCATAAAAAATTCTAGATCTAATTTTTATACAAAAAGGGGTGTAGGTTGTTTTTAGTAATCACTTACATTGTAAGTTACATATAAATACATAAAAATTTTATGCAAATTATCAAATTGCCGTCAGAATAATAATTATTATTTTTATAATTTTGTTTGCAATAAACTTTGTATAAAAAGCAAAGTTGAAAGAACAAATTTTACTTAAAGTTAAAAATAAGTAATACAGAAGAATAAAGTATATAATTTTAAGTAAATTAAGGTTGAAAAACGTTATTAAGAAATCTTACAAAAATTTTACTTTGTACTTAATTACGAGTATTATACTATCAAAGTTTAAAAGTCTCAACTTTAATGTTTTAAATGTGCTATTTGAAAAAATATTATCTTTTATTTCGTTAACATATTCTAGTGCTTCAGTATTGATAAATATCCAGGTTTTAAGAGTTGGATGGAGTAGTATTTTGTCCAATCAATGTTAATCAAATTTTAAATTCATATTAGAAGCGTTGTACTAACTAAAGTTATTTTTTAATATCGCGTACAAAAATAATTATACAAATTAATTAAAAAACTCATTCGAACATCGAATGAAAATCTTTACTGCTGAATAGGAAATAGTTTTCTAAAGCATTTTTAAATTTTTTTTTCTGAAGGACAATATTTGAATTCTTATGATATTGTATCAAGAAACTAAATTGAACAATAATTGGCGATCTAGAATTTTTAATTTTTTTCTGTTATTCATGTTGATTTTAGGATAATGTAAATTTAATTTACGTCGTCATCATCTCATTTACACTCATATAATGTCTTAATATAATTTTTGTATTTACATATTATGCGTCCAAGACAATCAGGCAAAGCTGCCTAAGTGAGAATTGTTAGTATATAGAGTAAATTAAGTTTAAATATTAAATGAAATTAGAAATATCTAAAGAATGGCAATATCAGTGTGTACGTGGTAAAGAAGATCGCCTATCAATATATTTTAATTAAAATCCTGTTGAAATAAAGAAGAGTTTTAATGTTATAAAATATTTTTTCAAAAAATAATTTTTTTTCATTTTGATTTAAACAACTTAAAATTGTTTAAATTGAATTAATTTCTTTAGAATAGTTCTAAAATTATATTAATAATACTAAGCCCGTTTAGTATTATTTAAGTTCCTTTGCCTTATAACCACAGACATATATATATTTCTTCTTCTACATCTACATATTAGTTTAGTCAGCCATAAAATGTAAAATAATAGTATTGTCGTTAATAGATTTTTGTATAAAAACTCTCTATTCTTAAAATTCTAACAAAAGTCTTAAGGATGAAGACAACATACTATAAGTATCTATGTTTTATAAACAGATCTTTATATATATATATATATATATACTATGAATAACTTTTATATGCATAATAATTTATTTTTTATAAGATTGTATTTTTTTTTTCTTTTACCATTATCTTTATGGGGAGGATTAATGTATTTGAATTAATGATTAAATATTGTTGGTTATTTGCAATATTATATATCGTATATGTACAAATATACACTTAAGAATTATAAGACATTAAATATAATTTAGAAATAAATATGAAGAATTTTATTACTATTTTTATTAAAATTGTTTATGTAATAATTACATTTCAATGATGTGTTGTCATTTAATGAATTCCGATCGTAATATTTTTATGATTAAAAAAATTTTCTAATTAAATTATTATAGTTGAATAAGAAGTTTATATCATAATTTTAAAAAATTTCCACTTAACGAAGAAATTTCATATATTTTTAAATTTTCAAAAGAAAAACCCTCGTTTTCAAAATTAATTTTTTTTTTTCAAAATTTTCTTAATACTTCAACATTTTCAGGGAAACTGAAATCCTAAATGGTTTCAGTTCCCTACATGAGTTATTTATAGAAATTATTGTTATTTCTTATATGAAATTTTGCCAAAATAGTTAACATTAACAAATAGTTAGTATTATTGATTGAACAATTCGAATTGAAATTTTAGCAAGAAAAAACGTTTGAAGCACATCACAAATTACAAAAAAATTCAACATATTTTAAAAATATTTTACAATTTCAGAAACATCTTCAATTATTATCGTCTACAATTCATTTTAAAGAGGAAATATTAATTTTTAATTTATAAAAAATATTACGATCGATAATTATTTAAATGACAAAATTAAGGATAGATATTAATTTTAGTGTTTAAAGTTTCAAAATCTAAAAAAATGGGTTAATAAAATATAAAATTAAAACAAATAAACATTTACATATATTGCAATTGTAAAGAATAAAATAAAACCCCCCATAAACCTATAAATCTTCAAATCACATAAGCGATAAGCACTTTAATAAAAATTCAAGAATTTTGTTTTCCCATTGAAATTACAAAACAAATTGTTTAAAAAGCGTGCAATTTATATTTCACATTACCTGTGAGGTAAACAAAAAAATGAAAGTAAACATATAAACAAAAATAAAAGAAAATATACAAAAAAAAAAAAACAAAGTTGAAAAAAAATTTCTGCTGCCTATCAAAATCTACTGAAAATTTTCTTCTAGCACAAAAAAATCCATGATTTATCACGATTTCCTTTCTCTTTTTATATATGATTTAATAAAAAGGTAAAAGTGAACACTTTGAAATTTTCTTCCTGTGCAATTTTATTTAGAATAGAAAAATATCCCTGAAGAATTTTTTTTTGCTCAGCTTTCTTAATATGTATTTTTATACACATACATATTTAATTCGCACATGTTAACAATTCGTTATTATAAAAAGAAACATAAAAAAAATTGTGGTTTATCACGTAATTTTGTATCTGTCACAAAACCGATGTTATCCTTTTATTATACAAAAACCTTTTAATATTTGATTTTTCATTTAAATTCTTATTTTATATAGTTTTGTTAAAAAACTTGTTTTAATAGCCAAAAAAGAATTAAAATAAACATTAAAAATTCGAAAAGCCTGACATAGTATGAAATTCGAACACGATTTCTTCTTTAATAACTGAAGAATATTGAATTATTTAACTAAATGGTGATTCTTTTTAAAAAATTGCTGTAAAATTACAATTCTAATCGAATACATTACAGACCAGAGAACTATTAAAATAAACTAATGCATGATCGTAAAAAAGCTATTGGTTACAAACATTGTTATTTGATTATTATTTGGTGAAGTAGTCAGACCCTTAAGCTATGCTGACTTATCCAGTTATGAAAAAACAATTGAAGAGGACATCAAATTGTCGTAGATTTGAAATAAATAGGGTAACGATTTGAATAATTATTGACACTCTGAAAATTCGTTACGATTATTGGCATCGCGATTTCCACAGTATTTTTTCGTAGTATTTTTCGATATATTTTTCGATACAATATTTCATATTTTTTTTATTCTTTTAATAATTTACAAACAAGAATACAATCTTATAAGTTTTAAAGAATAAACAACGATTTTACAAACATAACAGCCTTTATTTTAGGCGAGTAAATATCTAAAATCGTAAGGAATTTGAATATGTAGACTTGGTAATTTTTAAGATTTCTGTAGCACTCACTTTTCAATGCCATTGCAGGTTTTTTAAAGCAATAAATATTTTATTTTAATTTTTATGTACCACTAGTTGTACTTTGAATCCATGTCAACAACAAAATGCCAGTGTCAATAGTTGTTCACTCTAATTTTGTACTAATACTAAACTTTCATAATTCCACTTAGAAAAATTTTCTAAGAAACACTACTTCAAGGTGTCAATAATTGTACACGAAACAGTATACTTCAAATGAAATTTATAAAAATGAGATGATAATAAAAAATTTACAAAAAATAAAATTGATTTTCTGAAAGATTTTTAAAAGCAATAAAACTTTATTTAAAATTGAGTTCACCTTATTTTAGAGAAAAATTTGTTTAGTATGGGTTTTTAGGGAAGCAGCAAAGTTGGGTTGCCAGGAGAACCATAACTAATCAAAGAAACAAAAATTTTGAGGACAATTCGCTATTCAAAAAAGTGGAAAAAGAAAAAAAGACAAAATAAATACTGCTAAGAAACTGAAATCTTCATTAAATTTTTCACTACAAGGA